CCCTCAGTAAATCTACTTCTAAAAATGTATCCCAAGTAATTAATGGGTAGTGTATTGTAAGAGTCATGTATGTGGCTCTTCATCACAGTATTATTTAAAAGAACAAAAAACTGAAATAACTTAAATGTTCAATAATGAAGGGGCTGACAAATGAAATACTAGTAAATCTAAATTATAGAACACTGTGCATGAAATCAAAAAAATACTAAAGGAGGTCATGTAATCTTATAAAATATAATTAAGTTTTTAAAATCAGGTTACAAAATAGTATGTTAAACATGATTCCTTTTTTTTAATCTTTATTGTTGAAAGTATTACATGTCCCCTTCTTTCCCTCATTGACTCCCTCCAGCCTGCCCTCCCCCCACCCCAGGCCCTCACTGCCCCATTGTCTGTGTCCTTGGGCCACGCATATATGCACCATTAACTTATGATTCTTAAATTAATTCTGTCATTTCTCTATCTTCCCAGAGGTGTGGCATGCTGGTCTGGGCAGGGACTCCTGTCAGTCCCCTTGCTTCCCTCCCTGTATCCATTCTACCCAAGATGGACTTGAGATAGGTGAGTATGAGAAAAATATTTATTAGGCCACAGTCCTGGGCCCTGGTCTCATTCTTTATGCTATGGTTTTTTTCGTCCCTCTCTTCTGTGTCCATGTTGCTGTAGTAAGAAGAGATTAGGGCTCCCTTTGCTAGGTCACTGACCCTACTTTAAGGAAGCCTGAAGACCCTCTCTTTCCCCTGCTCAGCCTTCATGGGGTTTTCACTGGATTTTTCTTTCCTCGACTTTGATGGGTAAGATAGAGAGGGATAAGATTGAATGTAATAAGCCAGGTAAAATAATAGGCAGGCCTAGGGCATAAAGTAAATGCAGGCACAGTGGCGTCCTCGGGCCTACCTGCTGTTTGGCTAAAATAATCCTTAAGGACTTAAGAGGCTTCACTAGGGCCTGTAATGACAATGGGTTCTATGTGGAATATACCCCCTGCACATTTCCCTTGGGAGCCTGGCTCCACTGTAGGAAGTTTCAGAATCCCAGCATAATATCATCATTCAATACACCTACTGGGGAACCTGGGGAAAAGTAATGCCAGTATCCAAACCTCCCTCTGGAAGAGACCTCATCAGCTGGGCAAAAAGGCTGAGACATTTAACTCTGTACTCTGTAGAGGAGACCTGGCCTCACCTCTAAAAGTCCCAAAACTGAGCAAAAGGCACTTCGTGGTTGAATTTCAAAGCCTCCAGGCAAAAAATCCAGTAACTGTGCAGTTTACAATAGATATTGAGTAGCGTGCACTACACTGAGCCAATGAAACAACTGTGCAACTTTGTCAGGCCTACGCTGAGATGGAGCATCTTCATAGTGAGAGGGAGGCACATATCCCTTTGACCCATACGCTTAACAAACAGAGGCATCTGGACAACAATTACATGACTTGTATTTAGTAACTTCTCTATATATATGCTATTTGGGTTATAACAAATTAATTTTTTTAATGAATTAAAACCACTGAATTTTGACCTAGTTGGTATGGCTCAGTTGGTCCTATCCACCAAAAGGTAGTGGGTTCAATTCCCGGTCAGGGCACATACCCAGATTGCGGGTTCAATCCCTAATCTGGATACGTGTGGGAGGCAACCAATGTTTCTCTCTCACATCTCTCTCCCTCTCTCTCTCCCTCTCCCCCCCCCCCCCCCCCCCCCCCACCT